GAATGAAATCCAGGCTCACTTCCACCGTATATGTCCTCTCCATGCCTGCTCCATTCACTTCCCCAGTGCAGTCCAGACCACCTAGACCCCGGAGACCCCCGGGACTGCTTCAGAGCAGCAAGGCAAGCGGGGGCGGGGCTTCACAGTGTGAGACCAAATGGGCCTTTCTGCACCCAAGCCCCAGGAAAGTCTGTGGCAGTGTCCCAAGACCCCTGATACTTTGCAGGGAGATGTCTCTGCTAGACGGACAGGAAGTGGGGGTGAGGGGGCCTGGAAGAGTCCACACATTCTGCAAGACGCCCCAGCCTCCGAGCAGAGGTCTCTGCACAAAGACTCGCCGTGCCAGGTCACTGCAGCTGCTGCCCCTCGGGCTTTTAGCCCTCAAGGTAACACCTCCTTTTCCATTTCTGTTTCCTCAGGTTTGTCTCCAAGAAAGTATTTTATCACTTAACGGTTGACCGGCCTGTGATCTACGATGGAAGTGATTTCCTGTAGCCTCAAGCACGTGGATGTTAATAGTTTCCCATTACCCACAGGAAACACTACTCTTCCTCTCCTGTCACATAAAGCACTTACAAAACCCAAAAAACAGAAACCAGCTGCTCTGAAGCTATCAAGATCCACTGTGCAGCGGGCCCTTGGCTGCCCTTGGAGCTGGGTTCCTCGTACTCAGCACCATGCACGTCACTCTTAGCCCTGTGGCTTCTAAGGGCTCAAGCAACGTTTTCATTGTCCTCACACCCAGAGGGACACTATGCCAAAGTTTTAAACACTCAGGAGACCATTGGCCTCTCCTGGGGGCACAGTTGGTTCCAGGCCTCCTGTGGAGAGTTTCCCAGGCAAGAGAGGATCCCACCTTCTGCTCAGGGAGAGACATGGCCCCCCTGTGCCCAGCCTGGGGCCACGCATCATGGGTGACCATGAGCTGGGATGCCCTGGCCAGACCCTGTGAGGCCCTCGAGTCCTCCCAGGAAAAGGAGGTCGGGGCACCCAGGGGCCCGCCCAAGATCCCAACCAGCCTCCTCCATCATGCTCCTGTCCCTTCCTGCCCCGTGAGTCCAGGGCTGCTCCAGAACTCAGCCATTTCAGAGGGTCCTCCAGCTGCACTTGCCTCCTGGCCCTTCTGTCTGGGCAATTCTGTCCTCAAGCAAAGCCCTTCACTCAGCCAGACCTCTCAACAGCTCAAAACATCACCCTAAGAATCAGAATTGAAGCTAATCCAGGGAACAGAACCCACCTACTGAGGGCCTGCAGTGCTGTCTGTGTACGGACGGCCAGAGCCCAGATGCTGGGTAATGTCAACGCCATGACCAAAACGCAGGGTTGTGCATCAGCCTATAGGGCTCCTTAGCTGACAGCCTGTCTTTGTTTATATCAGTAAGAGCTTCTGCCTCACCTGCAGATATGTTTACGAAAGATCATAAATCAGGGTAGGAACCACTTTTAAAAATTGGGGCTTCTTAACAAAAGTCTTTGGTAACTCAAGCGTAAACAGGCATAATTCATGAATCTGCTCTTTGCACACCTCTTGATCCCCCCTCCCCACCTACCAGATTCCCTACACCCCATTTGCCCACTTCCTGCTGCTCAGCCTGCACCTGACACCTGTGAGCTGCGTCCCTCTGGGGCAAATGAATCCTCTGTCCTTTTCCAGGACGAGAGAAGGAGATAGTCTTCCTGTTCTCTGTGGCCCTCTTCTCCCACCACAGAGGGCTCACCTTTGACGGCCTTTTTGTGCCCTGTTCACAGGGCAGTCAGGTCCCAGGTACTTTTCACAGTGAGTAGAACATCTGACAAAGCAGCCCACCTTGGCTGGGGACAAGGGAGAGGGCGCCGGGCAGGGTGACTGTGGGTCTGAGTGTTGGGCCCAGCCAGCCCTCCAGCTAGCCTGGTGACTAAGGCAAGCCACACCACCTCGAAGCTTTATCTCGTGGTTCACAAGCCTGGTCTGACCAGTTCTGAGAGCTGGAGAATGGGTCAGGAACCCCAGGCCAAGTTCAGCTCAGACCCCACACCCACCATGCACCAGCAGAGAGGACTCGTGGGGCAGGGGCAGGAGGAAATGACTTTGGCGATGGATTTAGAGCTTTGATTTAAACAGGAGACTTAGGCACTCCCAGTCACTTTAAGTGGGGTTTGGGACATGGCGAACAGAACCTTCCAGAGAGATTAGCGCAGAGAAAAGCTGGACCTCTTGTGCTGTCTTTCCTGGGAGCAGCCGCCTGTGGCAGAAAGCCACGTCTCTAGCATCTCCTCGAGCAAGGTCCTGACAGTGCTCAGCACCAAAACGGAAATAGCCAGGCCCCCAGAGACTTCCTAGCCTCGTGCTTGTCCTCACAGGGTGCCACACAGCCTAAAGGTTGTTCCAGGGCAAATTACCCTGTCTTTAAAGCCACCCACCCTCTTGGATAATCAGGTGTAGCTAGTCCACCACATGAGAGAAACTAACAAAAGAACCCAGAGCAGTCTGGGATCTTGGTTTGAGTGCTTAGCTTTCCCAGGATACCGTGGAGACTGGCCAAGCTGATGGCCTTCTGCTGGTATCACCACTGTCACCTGCAGCTAGAACCAGCGTTTCGAGAGTAGCTGATGTGTTTCCTGCGAAAGGCCTGGAACATTCCATCTGAGGCTGATTCTGAACCTCCGTCACTCAGCCCAACTGTAGCTTAAAAAATCACTTGGCTCTTCTGAAGCCAACCCAGAGCCACTCCTGCAGGAGAGCGTGGGCCCCTAGTGGCACCACAACAAAAGGTGACTGCAGCTGTGCAAAAAGACCTTTGCTGTGTTCAGAGAACTGCCCCCCGACCCCCGGTCACACCCCGCTTCTGCAGCATATTTATTTTCTGTGTTGAATGGACTCTTGTCCTTTGTTCCTTTGCTGTGTGAGCTCAGGTTTGCTGTGCACTATGCGGCTAGAGAATATGTATGGCTGCAGGTATGCTTGCAGCCATATTTAGGTATGGCTTCTATAAATAGCTTTCTTATTTTAAACAGGTTCCCAATTTTACTGAGGCTTTGGGGTTGCAGTATTTTTTTTTTTTTAATGCAAACGACAGTGAAAGACAGCTATTGAAAGTGGTGGCTCCACCCAGTAGACTGAATTACACTAGAAGTCAAGAAGAAGAAAACATCCTTGGGGTCTCAGATCACTATTTAAAAACAAAAACAAAACCCCAGCAGCCCCTTGATGGCCCAGCTCTCTGAATAACCGTCACTCTTTAGTGTTGATACCAGCCACTTTGCTCACCACTGTCTCAGAAGCCACTGATCACCCTCACCCATGAACACAGCCTCTGTCAGGCACACTCATAAACCTCAAGGAAGGGCGTTTGGGAGAAAGCGTGGCCTCTGCAGAGCGCTTCTGGCTGGAGCCCACCTACTCCAGGTCTACTGGACCAAGAGCAGGCAAGGAAATTCTCAAGCAGGAATCTGGAACTGAAACACCACATAGGGTTTAGAAAGTAGACATGAAAAGCCACACTATGTAGTTCAGAAATAGGATGGTTTTTCTGGCAGTTCTCAGTTGTCACTCGCCTTCGGTGGTGAAGTCATTCCAGACTCACATGAAAAGAAATCCCCATTTGGGGATGAAATCTCAATCTTTTATGATACTGGTTAGATGTCCACTGACATGGTTTTATAGGAGTTTCAATCTCAGAAGCCCCCCTTGGTGACTACATGGGAGAATCCCATCCTTGACTCAGAGGCTTTGAGAATCAGCAGAGCCACCATCTGTGATGCTCAGAACCAAGGGTTGCCCAGAGACTGGAGTCAGCCATCCACATTTACAAAATGCTTACCTGAAATGTACTTTTCAGTGGAACCTTGGGTAAGTTTCTCTCTTTTCATTGTGCTTCTTCCAAGGAAACAGGAAAGACTGAGTTAATGCCTTTTCTCTCTTAAGCACTTTTTCAAAATAATAAAGTACATCTTTAAATTTGGGGAGGCATTTCTGATAAAAAGGCTTCCTTAGAACCTTAGGACAAGTGTTATCCAGAGATGATCCTGCCCCTGGCGGCTGCAGAGCAACAGTGAAGCCTCAGTTGGATGGCTTCCAAATCGGAATTGCACTTTAATTGACTAATCCTCAGTTCTTGCAGCCTTATGGGATAGCGGGTCTGGAAACCCATCGCATTCTTATCTGCCAAAGAATTACCCAGAAGCACATCAAGTGTCAACACTCTACCTGCACAGCAGGGGTGATGATCTTTGTATCCTAAAACATACTCCTTATAGCATCTGCTGCACCATTTGGGAATGTCTTTATTTTTAACCTCAGGATTTAAATAAACACTATGTCATTGACAGTAGTGTCATCTTTCATTCTGTTGAGACATAAGGCAAGCGATGAAGTTGCCCACAGCAGAGTCAGGGTCGAGCTGCCCTTCTGGGACACGTCTTGTACCATGACTTTTCAAAAGGGCCTGAGCCAGCAGCTGCCCTGAACAGTTGCCACATGGCCTGATATCTGGACCCACGGTCTGCTCTGAGGCCTGTGTTCAGGCCTGCCTGAGCCATTGCAATGCACCAACCCACTGCCCTCTGCCAGATGAGCTTTTGCTTTCAGCAAAATTCCGCAGCCCTCCCCTGGTCCTCAAAGAGCACACTGAGCAAAGAGCGATCTGATTTACCAGCATAATGGGGTGGGGGAGGAGGTCACGGTGACCTAAAACCACAGTTAGTGAATCTGGATATAAATCTGGGCAAGACTGCCAGCACGAGGCAGTACAGAGGATGAGCAAAGAGCCTGGACACAGGCCCCGAGGTGCATGTCCCAGTCACTCCACCGGGCAGATTGAGCTCGGGCTGGGCAGTCCATCTGCACTCACCTTTCCTGAGTGCCTTGTGCCCCACAGAGCCCCTCCCAGTCCCCCTTCCCTCCACCTCCCTCCAACCCTCCCCCTGCCCCCCAGATTCTCCTGTGGCCTCATCTTTCATCAGTTACTCAGGAATAAGTTACTTTCCATAATCGGATTGTTCCCACTAGGGCCAGGACCTGTGTTTCTTGCATCTTCATCTCCCTCTGCCTCACCTCACAGCATCCAGCACTGTGCCAGGCACGAGAGAGCTCGCCAGCCTCTGAATCGGCGAGGACACTCGGTGCCTTGGTCAGCTCTAAGCCATCAACAATCCCACTGGCCAACTTGGCCAGAGACAAACTCCCAAAACCCCCATGTCAGAGAAGGACAAAGGGCAAGCCTGCAGGGGAGGTTTGGGGAGAATGGAGGTGAGCTGGTCACTAGATCCGACCCCTCACAACCCCCTATACCTTCAAGTCAAGCCACTTACTGTCCAGTAACAGAAGAGTGGTTTATCCAAGTGCCCAAAACAGCACAGCAGAAGGATTTCTTTATTAATAGGACAGTCCCTCCCGAGACTCAGGTGGCCACGTGGACTGGGCCTAGAAGGAGAACCGACGGGGACACATGGATGTGCAGGCTGCTCTATCTGGGCTGGGATCCTTCGTGGCAGAATCCCTGTGCACCTCACCCCACCTGCTGAACCGCTGAGTAGTCCAAGGTGACCAAACCAATCCTCCGCTCCAGGATTTCCCAGCCCCAACTCGATTCCAGGCATTCTGGCCCATCTCGGCGTCCGTACGCGCCGTGGCACTCGGTTCCACGCCTCTTCCGCTCGGTCGCCGCGTGGTGCTGGAGAACGTAGAGATTCCCCAGGTGACTCAGAAGGACACTGTCTGCAGGGTCAGCCCTTTCGGTTTGAAGATGCGTGGGAAAAATCTGGCGAGTGGGGCCCGCCACCCACGCACATCTGAAAAGCAAATAGATGGTGAAACCTGTCGCCCGAGATGAGAAAACGGACTTTTTCGGGGGGAGAGATTTAAGCCGAAGCCATCAAGACCCAGGGGAGAGCCGAGCTCTTATGAAAGCCGCTCAAAGTGGGTTAGGGTTGAAAGAAAGGTCAGCCTTTTACTTTTTCCACACCTGCTGGTTTCTAAAGAAAGATGGTAAAGCCGAGCAGAAGTCAGAAGTGTGATTGCTGACCTCTGGTCTTTGATGTGTGTCTCCTGGTCCCTCCCCCATCCCCCGAGCTCTGGGGGAGGATGGAGGCTGGTGTAGTTTCCTCACACCTCCTGGCAGGTTCGTGCTGAGGTTATCGCAGACTTGGCAGCCCCATCTGCAGCCTGGAAAGAGTTGTCTTCTTAGCTCAAAAATGAACAAAGGGAGCCAGGCCTCGCCAAAGCTGAGAAGCGTGAGTGCCCTTCCCCAAGGAAGGCCTCATTTCCAGAGCAGGTTTGGCTTTGGGCCTGTGGCTCCACAGAATCCTCAAAGGGGAGGTGATTTCAGGGAGGCCTCCCAGCTTTCCACTCCCAAGGTGGCCTCTGACTGAGCCCCAAGGAGAGAAGGACACCATTCCTGGGAGGTCACACATCTGTCTGCCAGGTCAGTGGGTCAGGCGTTGTCTTCTCCCTGGCGTGAGAAAGGAAAGCGGGTGGGGGGTGGGGGAGGGTCAAAGGATAGGAGAGTGAAGAAGGGGTCTGAAAAGAGGACCAGCAGCAGGGAGGGCCTTTCCGGAGGAGGCCTCGAGGGGTGCCACACCGCAGGCCAGCTTAGCAGAAGCCGCCTTTCTCGTGGGAGGAAAGGAGCAGTGGGGAAATGGCAGGTTTACGGAACAGACACCAAAGGCAGTGACTGCAGACACGGAGAAGGTAATCCAATTTGTCCCTCTGACTTCAAGGCCCCACGTTCTTTCACAAAACAGCCCTTGCGTGTGGCAGCAGGTCAGCCCTCCAAGTGGCCTTTGCACAATACACAGCGTCCATATGTAGAACCAAAGGTCTTTGTAAAGACAGCCCTTCTCCACCAGCAAGGACCCCACAGGACTGTTGGGTGTTCTCAGCAAGAGGATCACACGTTCACACCCCCAAGATGACCCTGTGGAAGAGGGATAGGGACCCATGAGGCACAGATCAGGCACACAGGCTCCTTAGGATCAAGGGTTCAGGTGTTAAGCTATCAGGAAAAGCCCAAGACTCACCCAGGGCTCAATTTTGCTCCAGAGTCAAACTGTTCGTTTATTAAGTGTCAGTAAATACAAAGCAAGTAGCATAGAGTTTCTTAGAAGAAAGTCCTCTTATTTGGGTTACCTGGTGGCACATTAAAATGCAGAGTCATGGGCACTCCCCACATCAACTCTGGTTCATCAGGTCTGGTTCATTCACAAGTCGGCCAGGTGATTCTGGTGGAGGTGATCCATGGACCACACCAGAAAGTCATTAATGATCACTACTGTGTCACCATTTTGGTTAGAACTTGAGGAAAGGGATAAAATCAGCTAATGGATATGTCTTCTAATTTAACTCTACCAGTGACCCTCAAATCTTGGAACCAGGACCTATCCCTCAATCCACTGATCCAAGCACTAGGATGCAGTGGTGGAAATTTCATTCTTGGAGAGGAAGATATTTCTAAATGAATCACCTGATATGAAACTATTTACAGGTAAAATCTTTTTACAATCATAATTTTCTTCTTTATGGCTTGTATTTGTATTCAAGGGACATGTTGTTAACTGGCGTCATTTGTAAATGGAAAGACATTCCCTTCCCCAAATCCAAAGTAGTCCCATATGTGTCCACAATTTAAGAATTAGAGGAAGAAATATGAGTTTGGTACCAAAGGGTTTGGGTTCCTAAGCTGGTCCATACACAGAATTCAGAAGGTCTATGAACTTGGAAAATGACATCTTTCCCCTATTATCTAATTAAAATGTAGGTCTTCCTTCAATTATGGATATAGACTACATGCCACACTAGTATGTATTAGCAAGACCTGTGACTCGGTCACTGGTGGAAATGACAGATATTTTCAAGTTACACGAAAGTTGTTGCAGACGCTCAAAATATCATTTATGCTGATTTCCACTATGAAATGAAGGTTGTCATTAGGCCTGCTGGTAGATTTTATTTAACGTGTTCATAAAGAGGCATGTGTGTTACTAGTTCACAAATTTGTTTTAATAGTTAGAGAATTATACGTCAGTGTAATTGGTTTCCTTTATAATCCTATTTATTCATTTTAAAACATTCTGAAAAGGAGGCTATAGGCTTTGTCATATTGTCAGAGGGGTGCGCGAGGGGAAAAAAAAGGTTAAGGACCTTTGGGTTCTGGCAGGTCTTCATGGAAAAGAATACAAAGATCATCTCATTGCAGCACTGATTTATTAATAATAACATATAATTAATAGCAGCATATCTAATTTAATAGGCTCTTGCCATAAGTCAGCCACGTTTTCCAGATGAGGAAACCAAAGACCCAGGGAACTTGATAAGTTAGAACCATTTGGAGAAGAGGTTACTACTAGGCTGAGACGGCTGCAGTTCTCCAAACCGTTACCATTTCACTGGAACATAGATTCTCCAGTGATTAAAAAACAACCTTCCATATACCAGGCTATGCTATGGCAGCTCTTAACCTTCAGGCCCTTACTGTGTATCATCTTCCATACATGAGGCTTTATCAGTTGTTTATTGTCACAATAACACTGCATAATGAACAGTCTCAAAACCGGTGGCTTAAACCACTAAGCATTTATTTCGCTCACACATCTGTAGGTTGACCAGAAGGTCTTCTGGACTCACTCTTGCTGGGCTCACTGATGTGTGTGCCTTCCATCAGCTGTGTGTCATCTAGGCAGTTCCGCTCATCTCAGCTGTGCTCTCTCACATCTGAGGGCTGGCTGGCTGCTCACTGACCTTGGCTGGGCTCACTCCCATGTCTGTGGTCAGTTGGTTGGTCCCCTGGGGCTGGCTGGGCTAGCATGGCCTTGGCCAGACGACTGTGCTCTGCCCCTCACAGTCTCCCATTCCCCCAGCAGGATGGCCCAGGCTTGCTCAGATGCCTGCTGGGCAGGTTTCCAAGCGAGCAAGGAGTACACAAGCCTTGGGAGACCTAGCCTCAGAAGTGCACAGCCTCACGTCAACCACATTCTGTTGACCAAAGCAAGTCACAGGCCAGCCCAGATTCAAGGTATAGGGAAAGGGACTCCTTGATGGGAGGAACTGCAGGGTCACATTGTAAAGGCTTTGGGGACAAGGGGTGGAGAATTCGGACTATTTTTGCTATCATTCTACCGAAGAGTCAGTTCGATCTTCCCTTCTTGCACTTCCCCCTCCACCCCGATTCTCACTCTCCTTCAGGAAAATACAGGCCTTCTCCAGATCCACTCATCCCTGTGCACAAAGATACACACAAGACTCTTCATGGACACATTGTCTGTGATAGCAAAACACAGGAAAGAGCATGTTCAAGGTGGGTGGGTTGAAGAATGACTGCCTGTGGAAATGGGGCTTTGGAGATGGTGGCTTTTACTTTTCTCTTATAACTTTTTGTACCATACAATTGTTTTTACTGCATGCCAGTTTAACTTTTAAAATTTGAAAACTAATTTATCAAAAGAACAAATTCACCTCAGTTTGTGGTTATCTCAGTTTCCCAGTAAACAACCAAATGCCCGGTTCCTCCGAGCTCAGGTCATAACAGAGTTGTTCATCTCTTCCTACATTCACCAGAGGGCCACTGCTCCTGTGAGCATGACCACATGAAGCCAGAACGGGAGGGCCTGGGAGCAAGCCACAATCTGATCAGGCCTCTTGCTCCCCCGACCTCAGGGCTGGCCCATCTGGGGCCACCGTACCATCCTGACTCGACCCACATGAGAAGAGAGCTATTCCTAGGCTCCATGGTGGGAGTTTGACCACTGGAGCAAAAGTACTTGAACTCCATTTGGGGAAAAAGTATAGCAGTATCTAGGTGGTCGGATTCTAGTATCAAGAGGGCATGAATGGGTTCCTGGTACCACTACTGGCTAGCTATGGCTTGTGGTGATGGGGGGTACTCTGTGCCCCACTTTCTCCATCTGTTAAATGGAAGACATAACAGTAGCTACTTCATAAGGATGCTGTGGAAACCACATAAGAACAAAAAGGGCCTTATGGAGTGTTTCCCATAAAGAGCCACTCAGAAATGTGATAGCTGTTGTTATCAAGAAAGCTCTCTGCATACACCTTGTCCAGCCCCTTTTCCTCTCCTCTCTGGGTATCAGTCAGCTAGGTAGTTGAGGGATTGAGCGGTTGGGATCATTGAAGACAAGTTAATTTACAGAATAGCAGCTTCTGGTGGTTGTGAAACACAACCCAAAGTTATTAGACATTCCTCCTGTAAGAGGTGGGTCTGGGGCCACTCCCCCACTTGAACCTGGGCTGGCCTGGCACTGCTCTGACTGGGGAGAACAGCCAAAGTAATGCTATGTGACTGACTTTTGGTGCCAGGTCGGAAAAAGACATACAACTTCCCCCTGGTCCTCTTGGACCCTTGCTCAGGAGAAGCCAGCTGCTACGTGAGACCCCTGTGCTGAGGGACCATGGCTTGGCACCCTACTTGGCAGGCCGCGCAGCTTCTGGCCCAGTGGCCTGACCCTCCCAGTGCAGCTTTCAGGTGACCACACCCCCAGCCAGCATCTGACAGCAGCCAGAGGCCTCAAGCTAGACACGCCCAGCCAGTCCCCTTCCCAATTCCTGACCCTCACAATGGGGAGCACTGTAAACGGTTACAGTTTTATGCGGCAGAGCTTTGCGGCAGCAGTAACGGGGACATAGCGGAACAGAGCACAAGCACGTTCTAAAAGCACTCCTTCCACTTAATTGTGAGCGAGACACAAAGAGAACACTGTATCGAAAAAATTGTTTTATTGGATGACCCCTTATACTTCATCACAGCAGATCTGACATGAGTGTTGTCTATACATCCCCTTTCCACATCCTCACTTCCCATTTGCTTCTCACGCAGCCCTAATCTGCCCTGATTAGGCCTCAGAAGGCACTCACATCGAGGCCACAGGCAGCCGCTGCGGAGCCAAGTCCAGAAACGCTCCCGGCCCTCATCCTCCAACTTTTAAGCATCTCAACACAGTTGATCCCTCCTTGATCCCCCCTTGCTTGCCTCCCACAGCGACACTCCTCTCCCATTTCTCTTACCTGAGTGGGCGCTGCTTGGTCCCCCACGCAGGCTCCTCCTCTATCCAGCCTCTAATAGTGGGTTCCTAGAGCCGCATCCTGCCCTACGCTCAGCCCTCGTCTTCTCCACTCTGTCTTGATCTTAGCAGTTCCCATGGGCATGACTGTCATCTTCATGTGGGTGACCTCCAGATTTGCATCTTTTCTCTAACTCCAGTCTTGCGGGGAGAGCTAGGATGACCCTAGATGGAACTCTTGATTTCCACCCCCAAGCTTCTTCTCCACTAATCCTCCCCTCCCCAGTGGTGGCACCACCGACCGCCCAGAAGTTCAAGCTCAAAACCTCATCCTTGATTCCTTCCTTTCTCTCAACCCTTACCCGCGCCTGTTGCTTCTACTCCAGAATGAGTCTCAAAGTCCCCCACCTCCTCCACCACCTCTGCCACCATCACCCTGAGCCCAGCCACCATCGTCTCTTTCCTGAACAACTGCAGCAGCCTTCTGATTGGTCTCTCTGCTTCTACCCTTTCCTTCCCACTCCCAGAACCCCTGCCAACCTTTCTTCACCCAGGGGCTTTAGAGATCTTTAAAACATGAGTTAGATCAAGTCACACTCCCACTTAAATATCTTATCCCTGGCAGTGGAATAGAATCTAAATTCATCATCTGGGTCTGAGGAAACCCCTACCTTTCTCTCCAGTCTGACCTCCCTCACGCTCATAACCTCCAATCAACAGTGAAAGAAGCCAAAGTCTTCTTTCAGCTCCTGAACTGTGATAATCACTTCCCTGCCTCAGTGACACCAATGAGGATTAGAGCTGATGGTCCCACACTGTCTCAGTGAGTCAGATCTCTTCTGGCCCTTAGAGGCTTTCTGGTTCCAAAAGTTGAACGAAAGTACTGGGGCTCACTCTGCCTTTGTTAGTCTCCCAGGGTATTCTGAGTTCCCTATATTGTTAGTCCCACTGAGAAGGTGTCGCCCACAGTGTGAGACCTTTTAGAGTCTGCTCATTCATTCCCAACTGTCTCTGTATCTCCCTTGGTCCCTTTGGTAAGGAGTGGCCCAGCCAGATAGGAAGTTTCCATCCAGTATTCATTCATTCATTCATTCATTTGTTTATATCTGGAGCTTTGAAAGGATAAGAGCTTGATTTTTGAGGGAACTTATGTGATGTCTTGGACTTGCTTTAAAATACTCTAGCAAAGATAAAGGAAGGAGCTAAGGGAGAAAGGTAGGAGTGGAGGAAGAAAGAGGGGAAGGGAGGAGCAAAGGAAGGAAGGGGGGCAAATGAAACGAAGAGTGAAGAGAAAAGGAAAGAAAGAAGAAAAGAGAGTGGGTGGTATAGGCGGGGTAAGAATGGAGAGAATGTTGATCACTGTTGAAGCTGGGTGATGGGTATGTGGAGGTTCATTATGCTATTCTCTCCACATTTATGTAAGTTTTTAAATTTCCATAATTAAAGAGTTTAAAAAGAAAAGAACATGAGT